CACACACACACACACACACACACACACGCGCGCACACGCACACACACACACACACACACACACACACACACACGCGCGCGCTCGCGCGCGCACAAACTACTTGCTTATCACACGCACACGCTGAGCATAAAATAATATACACACTCTGGTTCCGAATTTGAAAATGCTTTTCATATGGTCGCTTTTAAGGATAATCGATAACCCAGATTTCGAGGGTTTTCCAGAAATCTTGACCTTCACCAAAAATGGGCACTGCACTGTGCGCTACCTGTAGGAGAAGTTTGGTTTCATTGGGGTGTATATTTATTTGGTTATAGAGAAAACTCTCCTTGTCTTTTAAAGATCTGAACAAGGGGAAAAAACTTTATCTTCGATTTTCTCAAAACAGCATTTTTCGGGATAGCCCCCTTGTCATTAAAAGCGAACACTTTACTGCACTTAACTTTTCCGATCCAGCGGCCATTTGGGTTCTAGCCCTTCGGTCTGTCGATATAGTAAAGAGTTTACAGGTTTAAAAGCGAACAAATATGAGGAAGTTTTCAGTACATTCATAAATGAGAATTTTAGGACCCGGAGGCAGTATATATACAGTCCGGGCTTCCCGGAACAGTACCACTGACAGAAGTGTCTTTAGGTCGTTCACATAGGGGCGATATTAACATGTTCTTATGAACAGTAGAATTGTAAATGAGCTGATTCATAAATGTCATGCTCATACTGTTCCGGAACAACATAGGGGGAACTGCTGCTTTTTTCTTTCCTCATCGTTACTATCGTCATTTTTCCTCTACTTCTTTTGTATGTTTGTCTCTCTCTTATGAACTGCTATTTCCGGGGTGCCTTGATAGTCGAAGCAGACTTTGTGCTGTTGAAGCTAGAGAGGTGAGCAAAGTAAGCCGAATTCCCCTTTTGGACTTCTCTGTTGACATCCACCGTTTTGCGCTCATATGACCGTATGTAGTTGTGAGCGCCGTAAAACGGAACTAAAAGACAGTCCGGGGGCCGGACACACATACGTCTTGCCTCAGTCGTGAACATCAGTGTGTTTCCCTGTTCTTTCTCACCCTCCCCCCCCCCCCCTCCCCCGCCCTAACAGCACGTACCGTACGACTGTCTGGAACTAGGCCACGCCCACTGGTACGGGCCGTCCAATCAGAGCCAATCAATCTTCCCGATCCGCGGCAGCTTCGTGTTCCAGCCCGACCAGTACACAGTGGGCGGCAATGGAATCTTTAGCCACGCCCTCGATTTCTATTGGCTCTCCTCCAGCGGCGCCGCCCTCTTTGTTCGTGGAGACAACCCCATCCAAATCCAGTGGAACCGAACCGGCGAGAACCGACTGTGCCTGCTGTCCAACTACACGGGCGCTCTGTACACGCAGGCGAGCGCTCTAACCTCCCCACTAATGAACTACACGCTGTGCCAGGGCACGCAGCCGGCGAGCACGCACGCATTCATGCGCAGCATGTTCCCCAAAATCACGTTCCCGCCCCACCACGCCCTGCACGACAGCTATTGGTCGCTGCAAGGCTCGAAGGGTGGGGCTAACGTCACTCAGCAGGATCTGCTGGATCTGATTGGCCGAGTCGGGTCACGTGGTGGGAGCTCTGTGTCTGTGGACGGTGACTGGCAGAAGTACCACGGTGACCTGACCTTTGACCCCAAAGTGTTCCCTAACCTGACGGAGGTCAAGGAGGCGGTGGAGGGGAGTGACCTTCGTCTGACCTTGACTGTCAACCCTTACTTCCAGTATCAGAGCAGGAACTTCCACACGGTACGATCATCATCATCATCATCATCATCATCATCATCATCGCCTTTCTCACTCTGTATCAGGATATAGGCCACGGACAAACACTTTCTCACCATACACCAGGGTATAGGCCACGAACAAACACTTTCTCACCCTACACCAGGGTATAGGCCACGGGCAGACACTTTCTCACCCTGCACGAGGGTATAGGCCACGGACAAACACTTTCTCACCGTGCACCAGGGTATAGGCCACGAACAAACACTTTCTCACCCTACACCAGGGTATAGGCCACGGACAAACACTTTCTCACCCTGCACCAGGGTATAGGCCACGAACAAACACTTTCTCATCCTACACCATGGTATAGGCCACGGACAGACACTTTCTCACCCTGCACGAGGGTACAGGCCACGGACAAACACTTTCGCACCCTGCACCAGGGTATAGGCCACGGACAAACACTTTCTCACCCTGCACCAGGGTATAGGCCACGGACAAACACTTTCCCACTTTCCCTATCCTGGGCTAGTCGCTTGATGTCACTCCACGTCTTAATACTTTTGTGCACATTCACTTCAGTGACTCTTTTCCAGGTCCCACGTGGTCTTCCCCTTGATCTTTGTACCTAGTGGGTTCCAATCTAACACTTTCCTTGTTATGCAGATGCCTCACTTACTGAAAGTGTGTCCAATCCTTCGCCAACGTCTTCTTCCCACCTCATCTAAGACTGGGCTCTGTCTCATTCTTCTTAGAGGTGCAATGCTCTACCTTTTATTGGAAACATAGATAGGTTTGCTCCTTGTTGCCCATCAAACATCTATCGTCCTTATCTCACATCTTTCTTTCCTATCAAACATCTATCGTCTTTATCTCCCATCTTTCTTTCCTATAATCATCAAACATCTATCGTCTTTATCTCCCCTCTTTCTTTCCTATTATCATCAAACATCTATCGTCCTTATCTCTCCTTTTCCCCTATCAAACATTAATCGTCGTCATCTCTTCTTCTTTCCTATAAAACATAATATGTCGTCCTTTTCTCCCCTCCTTCTTTCCTATCAAACATCTATTGTATTTATCTCTCATCCTTCTTTCCTATCAAACATCTATTGTCTTTATCTCCCCTCCTTCTTTCTTATCAAACATCTATTGTCTTTATCTCTCATCCTTCTTTCTTATCAAACATCTATTGTCTTTATCTCTCATCCTTCTTTCCTATCAAACATCTATGGTCCCTAGCTCTTCTCCTTCTTTTCTCCGTATATTGTGATCTTTTATTAACACCTGTACTGTACGCCACTTTCATGACCTATACCTCGCGACCTCAATGCTTTCTGACTTATTATCTCCATTTTTTAAACATTAAAAATATGACTTCTTCTTCTTAAGCTCACTCTTTGTTGTGAACTGTTTTCATTGTAAAAAAAAATATGGAGATACGACAAGAAAGCACTGAGGTCCCGACCTGTTGCAAGTGCCGTAAAACTCAAACACAAACCCTAACCTGTGCGTCCTGTGTGCCGGGCAGGGCGTGGAGCGCTCTCTGTTCGTCAACGACGCCGGGGGTCACGTGACCGGACTGACCGCTGCCCAGGGCGGGACTTCCGCGGCCCTAAACGTGTTCAAGCCAGAGAGCCGGGCCTGGTTCACGGGGAAACTACAGGTGAGAGTAGTACAACAGGTGAGACTGGTACTACAGGTGACACTGGTACAACAGGTGTGACTGGTTCACGGGGAAACTACAGGTGAGACTGGTTCACGGGTAAACTACAGGTGAGAGTAGTACAACAGGTGAGAATGGTTCACGGGGAAACTACAGGTGAGACTGGTTCACGGGTAAACTACAGGTGAGACTGGTACTACAGGTGAGACTGGTTCACGGGAAAACTACAGGTGAGACTGGTACTACATGTGAGACTGTGCCTGGTTCACGGGGAAACTACAGGTGAGAGTAGTAGGCCTACAACAGGTGAGACTGGTTCACGGGGAAACTACAGGTGAGAGTAGTACAACAGGTGAGACTGGTTCACGGGGAAACTACAGGTGAGACTGGTTCACGGGGAAACTACAGGTGAGAGTAGTACAACAGGTGAGACTGGTACTACAGGTGAGACTGATACTACAGGTGAGACTGCTTGGTTCACGGGGAAACTACAGGTGAGACTGGTTCACGGGGAAACTACAGGTGAGACTGGTACTACAGGTGAGACTTGTCTACGGGGAAACTACAAGTGAGCTGGACAGTTCAGGAGCAGTGAAGGGAACAGGAAATCTTGAGCAAATTTTCTCTTTACGGATATCAATAAAAATAGAGTGGTATCTCATCTGATCTTACTTTATAATTCGTTGCCATCGTGCGCAAACCTTCTAAGCAGCTAACTTTTTCAAACTGTACTTTTTCGGGTAATAAGATTCTGTATAACATACAGTATGTCACAGTCAAACAATATTTGACACAGGTGAAAAATAAGTACACTAAAACTCAAATGATGTCAATAACTGGTCACTGCTTCCCCAGACACTGCGGTCAGAGCTGGGACTGTCGGCCTTCAGGCTGACCTATGGTCAAGCTGGCTGGCTGCCCTACAAGCCGCACTTCGGACACAGTCACGCCACGCCGGACATGTACAGGTGGGTGGCTGGCGGGTGCACTGGTGTGGTTTGCTTCTTCTTTCATATATAAAAAAACTATCGTCCTTCTCTCTCCTCTTATGTACAGTAGAATTATAAATGGGCTGATTTATCAATGTCATGCTCATACTATGCCGGAACAACACAGGGGGAAGTGCGGATTTTTCTTTCCTCATCCTTACTGTCGTCATTTTTCCTCTACTTCTTTTGTATGTTTGTCACTCTCTTGTGAACTGCTATTTCCGGAGTGCCTTGATAGTTGAAGCACACTTTGTACTGTTGAGGCTAGAGAGGTGAGCAGAGTAAGCCTGATACCACTTTTGGACTTCTCTGTTGACATCCACCCCTTGATGCTCATTTGACTTAATGCAGATGAGAGCGCCGTAAAACTTTACTTAAAAATAAAACATAATCACTTGACCTATGCCCTGATCACATGACCTATTTCCTGACCACATGACCACATGATCACATGATCACATAACTTATATCCACAGACAGTTTGATCACATGATCACATAACCTATGTCCTTTTCACATGATCTATGACCTATGTCTTGATCACATGACCTATGTCCACAGACTGTTTGATCACATGACCTATGTCCACAGACTGTTTGATCACATGACCTATGTCCACAGACTGTTTGATCACATGACCTATGTCCACAGACTGTTTGATCACATGACCTATGTCCACAGACTGTTTGATCACTTGACCTATGTCCACAGACTGTTTGATCACATGACCTATGACCTATGTCCACAGACGCTTGATGGCGGAGAGTGTGAGTTCTGCCGGGGAGACCCTCGTGTTGGACCACACCTCCAGCTCCCAGCACGTGCCCGCCCTACTTCCGGTACACACACGCACAAAGGTCAAAGAAGGTCAGGAGTGCATCGTGGACGTCCTTGAGACGGCCTTCACCTTGGGCCTCATGGGATACCCGTTCCTGATGGCGGACGGGGTGTCTGGACAGGATGGGCAACTGCCTGGTCGGTGAGTTGTGAGTGCGTGGGTGGGGGAGGGAGGGGGGAGGGAGGGGGGAGGAAGGGGGAGGGAGGTGAGGGTGGCAGGGGAGGAGGTGAGGGAGGGGAGGAAAGGAAGGGTGATACGGTGTGGGAGGGAGGGGAGGGGGTGAAGAGGGGAAGGAAGTGAGGGAGGGGAGGGGAGGGGAGGGGAGGGGAGGGGAGGATAGGGAGGGGAGGGGAAGGGGTGAGGGCTGGGTGCACAACAAAATCTAGATCTAGATTTAGATACGTTTATTCATCAAATACTCTCTCTCTCTCTCTCTCTCTCTCTCTCTCTCTCTCTCTCTCTCTCTCTCCGGGCTAAAATTAATAAATTATAGTAACACTAGATCTACACACCGCCCGAGATGATCAGTTGCCTTGCATTGTAACCAATGGAAACTACCGCTCGCTCAGCGAGCCAATCACAATCCAACATTTTTGGGGTCCACCTAGACACCATGACTACGTAGACCCCAATTGGAGACTACTTAGACACTTCCTATATGCAATTAAATTGTTGGTTTTATTTTAATGTTATATTTTATTAATTTTTATTTCATTTTTTCAAACTATTCCCAGAGACGTGTACATCCGGTGGCTACAGTTGAGCAGTTTTTTCCCCGCGCGACAGTTCAGTTTCCCGCCATGGCGCTACGACCAGGCGACTCAGGACGCAGCCGACAACGCCACCTACTGGAGGGCGGGGTCTGTGACGCAGGCGTTGCTAGGCGACGCTGTCCGTGACGACACAGAGAGGGGCGTGCCTTTGTTGAGACCGGTGTGGTGGGCGGAGTCTGGGAACCTGACGCTACATCATATGGAGGTGGGTTGTGGGTGGTGGTGTGTAGGTGGGTGGTTGTGGCTGGATGGTTGTGTGGTGGGTGATGGGTGGTGGGTGGTGGTGTGTTATGGTGGGTGGTGGGTGGTGGTATGGTATGGTGGGTGGTGTGTGGTGTGTGGTGTGGTGGGCGGAGTCTGAGAACCTGACGCTACATCATATGGAGGTGAGTGGTGGGTGGTGGTGGGTGGTTGTGCGTGGTGTGGTGGGAGGTGGGGGTGTGTGGGTGGTTGGTGGGGTGATGGTAGGTCGGCGGGGTGGTGAGGGATGATATTGTTGTTTTATAATCAAAACGAAGACCATCTGTCTAGCCATTGTCCGTCCAAGGCAGCATGTAGCCCTCCTACAACGTCCCCCCACTCTCTTCTATCAGACGTTTTTTTTGTCCAGGAAGTACCAGCTTGATCTCGGATGTCATCGTGTCACTCTTTTCCTGGACTTTTTAAAGATCTTTTTCCTTTTCTTGACCATTGTTAAAGAGGTGCTTGAAGAAAGATTGGGGGGCAGGAGAGCCAAAGAAAGACAAAGAATAACATGGATGGACAACATAAGAACATGGACTGGACTGGATATGGCAGAATGTGCAACGGCAGCTCGCAACCGTGAAAGATGGAAGGTCATTACGCGTCAACCTCTGAGTCAGAGATGACACCTCCAGGTATCCAGGATCTTCTTTCAGCGCACCTTTGTGTCCATTTGTTATCTTCCCCTCTTATCCCGTCCTCGTGAACGATCTAAACTGTGCCGATTAGGGTGTAAAACACCTCTTTAATGAAACCCAACACGTGTTCCCAACATACCTGCCACTGTACTGTTTTCCCACTTAGCTCCTCTCGACACTTGTCTTTGCCCGAAAGAAAATAGGCTAACACTAACAATGTCACCTTAGCAGAGACTGAGCCCACCATGTATGAACTTCACGGTGACCGTTAAGATAGTTCCAGTAGGGAATGAGATAGAGGGTGCCCACGTCCCTCGAAACTCATTGGAGCAGAGGAAGATAGGATTAATGCTAACATTACTTAAACGCAATCCCACAACATCACTCATCACCACCATTATTTATAAAACTATCATTGCTCTCAGATCAATGACTTACATCTACAAACCAGGAATCTCTATCTGTAACAGATACGTATGATACTAATAGTATTGGAACACTATCATACGCAATTTTTTCTACTAATCAGATGGCGTCAATGTCATATAAAAGGGAATCAGGTATATAAGGCGGAGATCTCGAGCAGTCGACGTCACACTTGTCTGTCCCAGGCCACGTCCTCCAATTTCTGCACATCTAGGCCGTGGGTGGATGCCTTCTCTCTTATTGTACCTCTATAGTTTCCTGTTGGTATTTCCCGCTTTCTCTTTCTAGTTGTTTTCCAATAGCATGTCTGAGAGGGCAATCTTGTTTTCGGCATTCTCAGAACATGTTCCAGATATCTCCATCTTTTTTTAAATTTTTATTGTTGTGTTGATATCTTCTATTCCAGCTCTTTCCAACGCTTCATTATTTGTAATAAATTCATTCCATATGGTCGCTTTTAAGGACAATAGAGCTAACCCAGATTCCGGGGGTTTCCAGAAATCTTAACCAACACAAAAAGTGAGCATTGCCCTACCTATAGGAAAAGTTTGGTTCCATTTGTGTGTATATTAATTGTTTGGTTATAGAGAAAACACTCCTTGTCTTTTAAAGAAACTGAACAAGGGGCAAGAACTTTTCCTTCGAATTTCTCAAAACAGCATTTTTGGGGGTAGCCCTATGTGCTTGAAAGCGACCAAATATACGCACCAATGAAACCAAACTTCCCATTAAGGGTGGGCAATGCCCACTCTTGGTGTTGGTCAATATTTCTGGAAACCCACAAAATCTGGGTTAGCCCGCTTGTCCTTAAAAGCGACAATGTAAAAATGGGCAAGGGGAAAGAAACCCTGACCAACACGTGTTTGTCTTCCCGGCAGGTGAAGGACGAGTTCCTGGTGGGTCCTGACCTCTTGGTGGCGCCCGTGCTATGTGGAGGTCAGAGGTCACGTGACGTGTATCTTCCCGCGGGGATCTGGGAGGACTCCAGGGACGGCACCTTCTTCCAGGGACCCACGACTCTCACAGACTACCCCGTGCCACTGGAGCAAGTGGGGCTCTTTGTGCGACGGACGGTGCGGGGACACAACAGGGAGGTGGAGTTGTGAGGGGCGGGGGCAGACGGGAGGACAGGCAGATGGACAGACGAACAGACAGACGAGCAGACAGACGGGCAGGCAGACAGACGGACAGACGGACCGACGCCACCTTCTTCCAGGGGCCCACGACTCTCACAGACTACCCCGTGCCTCTGGAGCAAGTGGGGCTCTTCATACGACGGACGTTGGGGGGACACAACAGAGAGGTGGAGTTTTGAGAGGTGGAACGACAGACGGACGGGTGGACAGACAGACAGACGGGCAGACAGACAGACAGACAGACAGACAGACAGACAGACAGACAGACAGACAGACAGACAGACAGACAGACAGATAGACTGACGGACCGTGCGGACCAACAACTCTCACAGACTACCCCGTGCCGCTGGAGCAAGAGGGGAACCACAAACACCTACTTCAACATAGTTAGATGACTGTGGTCGGTCGTCATGTCACAATCCTGTGAGGAGTCCACTGACAAAACGGGCATAGTTACAAACTGGAAACTGTGAGGGTGTCAATTTTAAAAGCTCGTGGATTCGTAACTTCAATTTTGTTTGATTGGTGGTTTATTTTATATTTTTGTTTGATGGGAAATCTAACAGCAATTATCAACCAACAGCTGAAGAGAAACACGATTATGAGTCAACAAGTGTTCAAAATTGATACCTTCACAATTTAATTTTCAGTGGACTCCTCATGTGTCTTCCTCACGGTGTTCAGATACAGTGGAGTCCGCTTAAAGTGAACTCTTAGTTGAGACCAGAAGAAAGTGTTCACTTTATCCGAGGTTCAGTATTGTAGAGCTGATCAGACTTCGATCTTCAGAGCGCGCACAGGACACTTACACATCAAAAAGCACATAAATAAAATTAACTCCATGTGGGAACCCCATTGCAGACACTGTCACAACCACGAGGAGACCGTTGAACATCTTCTCCTTCACTGCCCAAACCTGGCAGTTCTTCGAGGCAGGCTCCTACACACACCTACAGACTTACAAAGCCTGCTCTACTCTGGCGTTGACCAGATGACAAGGACATTTGGTTACTTGAGGGAGGCCTTGCGTTGCCAAGAGCGAAATGCTCGAGGCTAGAGGGATTTGAAAACAACAACAAAAACATCCGAGTTTCAGTTTAACCATTTTGGTAGGGTGAAGGCCTAGAAACAGTTGCTACGCGCAGTGGTGGGTCTAGGGTGGAGGTGGTGGGTCTAGGGTGGAGGTGGTGGGTCTAGGGTGGAGGTGGAGGGGGTGGGGTGGAGGGACGACACAGCAGGCGAGCCTAGACAAGAGCTCTTTCTTTCTGATTGAGATTGCAGTCGCCAACGCCGAGCTGGGATTGTCTGCCGATGCCCGAGGCAAAAAATGTTATTTTCACAGCATGGCAACAGTGACACGGTCGGTCCGTTCTTCGCTTTCACTCATTTAGGGCGTTGACTTTATTCTATTTCCCCATGAAACCGGTTCATTTGACCAACTATTTGTTTAACTAAAACAAAAAGCGGTTCAATCGTGACCACAGAATATTGTTCACTTTAACCGATTGTTCACTTAATGCGGACTCCACTATATTGTTTACCTTTTGTTCCTTTTAGTAGTTGTTTTATCTCACTCTTACGTCTTCCTTGTTCGAACACAGCCTTGTATGTTCGTTGTGTGTGTGTGTGTGTGTGTGTGTGTGTGTGTGTGTGTGTGTGTGTGTGTGTGCGGCTGTGAATATCGTATCAGG